AACTCTGTTCCTGAGCATTATAACCCTAATTTGCTATTGTGTGTTGTGCATTTTACTGAGGACAGCTTCCACATCTCGAGTGAGAAGTGCCGGATTCGCCAAAAGCTTTTGTTGAAAGACGGAGCAAGGGGCGTGGCAGTACTGAAACACCGTCTAAGCTGTTCACCAATCACAACGCACTAGGAAAGCTAACCAATCACAACACATTTTGTTTTTCGGAAGGCGGACCTTCATCAAAGCCCGAACTAATCGAGCCGTTTGTGCCAGGATGGTGAGAAAGGGATTTTAATAATGTAAATTATGTGAAAAATAATGTGTTTTTCGAACCACCAAGCATGAGAGCATGTTCTAGTACACCCCCAAAACAAAATCAAGACTTTGTAAAAGAGCATAATAGGACCCCTTTAAGAGCTCGCTCGGGACACTCGCTGTCTGTGGAGGTTTGGCCAGGACCGGTTCCAGAATTAAATCAACATATTTTATGTTCCGTCCATTGCCAATCACTGCTATTTCGAGAGTGAATCCCGCATAAATATGCGGATGTCATTCCCGAAACTTTGCAGGATGTAGCCTAGGTCTATGTCCGAAAAACTAAAGTTTCATACAAATTCAGAATGGATTATACCATAGAAAGAGCGCAAAGCGTGCTCCCTTTATCACTAAAAAGCTCACTCATCTTCATCGCGAAAGTTCCTTTATAATCAATGAATCTCTTATTTAAATCGCGTCTGCACTTAGTCATGAGATGATTCACGAGCGTGCAAAACTGCTATTTCGAGAGTGAATCCCGCATAAATATGCGGATGTCATTCCCGAAACTTTGCAGGATGTAGCCTAGGTCTATGTCCGAAAAACTAAAGTTTCATACAAATTCAGAATGGATTATACCATAGAAAGAGCGCAAAGCGTGCTCCCTTTATCACTAAAAAGCTCACTCATCTTCATCGCGATCTTACAAAGTTCCTTTATAATCAATGAATCTCTTATTTAAATCGCGTCTGCACTTAGTCATGAGATGATTCACGAGCGTGCAAAACTGCACTTAAAAACTGAGCGGTGAGTGAATTCTGACAACACGTTTCTGATTGGCCATTGCGTTCAAGAAATCAACAGATATGTCTGTGAATGGTTACATTGCTCAACGCTGCAAAACCACGTTGAGGGTATTTAGCGCTTGGCTAAGACCTGCAACGGGACCGACATCAGGGATTCCATGACTGACGATTAATGTCGTCCATGTATATACTGTATATGTCAAAAATCAAAATGGCAAATTTTTACTACTAATAATTGCTCATAGCTTGTCAATTAACTTTGCTTTAAAAAAGCTATTACATACTCTCAGATAACTAAAACACATTCAATTTCTTTGGCAAAAGTAGTTTTTTTAAAAAGTAGAATTTCCCTGATTTGAACATTTTCTATAAATTTACTGTAGACAAGAAGTTCTCTGGCCAATCCGAAACAAGCATTTGTGTGTTTCACTGGTTGCAAATCTTCTGCTTGACCTTGCATTAAGTCCTTGACATAGAGAGTGCACTGGCATATTTTCCATTGTAAACTCCCCTCAGTGTAACAGTGTTCAGCTAGGAGGAGGGTGGGGTGGGGGGGAAGATGACCCCTCCCCCTGCCGCCTAGCGGGCACTCTGTTCTCCATCACTCTCAGAACTCCAGTTGCATCATGGGGAGGGGGCGCTGGAGTGCTGCCCAACAACTCTGATTACTTCCAGACCTCGTCTACACATTTCAACACACTTAAACACAGACATTCCCCTTGCACTCAAACACAGTGTTGGGGAAAGTTACTTTTAAAAGTAATGCATTACAATATTGCGTTACTCCATAAAAAAGTAACTAATTACGTTACTTAGTTACTTTTTATGGAAAGTAATGCATTACGTTACTTTTGCATTACTTTTTAAATCTGGACAGGGCTTACTTGTTTGTTTTTAAAATAAAAAAGTTATATTTTTGGCAAATATAAAAGCCTTTTCACACCAAAAGTGAAATGAATAAGCCTCAGGCTGAAGGAAATGTAAATTTACGTCCGTACAGTAGAATGCAGAAGAAGAAATTTCAACACACTTCAGTAATAAAAAAAGACACACAAACTTATTATAAAATAAGCAAATAAACTAAACTAAAAAATAAACAAAATAATTTTTGCTTATTAGTACCGTTGAACTGGATTATCGAAGGTCAGAAGCAAAGAAATTGGGATTAAATGCATAAAGGATATTTGTGTTGTTAAACATTTAATTATTGCAGGTTTGCGTCATATTCTGAGTTCATTTTGAGGAATACTGAATCTGTGTTTTTTTTTTTTTCTTGTGAGTGAGATGAATTAATGCATATTCATGTTTATTTTAGAACTACACTAACATCTGATTTCTCTCAACATGGGGACAGGAGAACTGTCAATCAATAAATTGAAAAAAAAATATTTGAAAAAGTAACTCAGATATTCTCTTGTAAATTAAAAAGTAATGCGTTACTTTACTAGTTACTTGAAAAAAGTAATCTGATTACGTAACTCGCATTACTTGTAATGCGTTACCCCCAACACTACTCATACAGCAGAATATGAACACAGGCGAATATACGAAATTCTTCGTATTCCTTCCAAATACTCATATAATTAAACTGTAGATCCATACCAGATGCAGTTTTGTATCTTTTTCTCACTTGTTAGCCAGGAAGTGGTCAAAATCACAAACAGACATCACAACAGCAAGCCGAGGAGAGAACCAATAGAAATGCCGTATCAAGCCTGATGCACTGTTGTTATTGTTAACTAAAACTGTTTTTGGTGAATGAAATAAAATATAAATTAAAAAAAAACTTTAAAAATGCTATATAGAAATATTTAGAACAACTACTAAAAATGACAGAAGCACATAAATTGACTAAAACTTTAAAGGGGTCATATGATGCGATTTAAAATTTTTCCTTTCTCTTTGGAGTGTTACAAGCTCTTGGTGCATAAAGAAGATCTGTAAAGTTGCAAAGACTTAAGTCTCAAATCCAAAGAGATATTCTTTATAAAAATTAAGAGTCAGCCACACCTACCTAAAACGGCTCGTTCTAACACGCCCCCACATACCTACCTCACTATGTGGGAAGATTTGCATAACGCCGCCCAAATGTTCACGTAAAGAAAGAAGGCGTAACTTTTAGTCTCACTGTAGTTTTGTTGACGCTGCAGCCATGTCGTGGAGACGCTGTGTGCTTCATTGTGAAAGCGAAACTACTTTGTTTGGTCTTCCAAAAGAGGACGATATCCGCTTCGAAATGCCTAGAGCTGATCTGTGCTGGTCGCTGAGGGAATACATCAACTTTCACCGTGGACGAAGCGGAATCCAGCCCGGGGTCTG